TAATAAAGCCCTTCATCACGATGAACTGAACAACTGTTAATAGATGACAGAGTAAATAAGGTCCTTCATCACGATGAACTGAACAACTGTTAATAGATGACAGAGTAAATAAGGTCCTTCATCACGATGAACTGAACAACTGTTAATAGATGACAGAGTAAATAAGGGTTCAATTCATCGTGATGAAGGGCTTTATTAATCTGTCATCTATTAACAGTTGTTCAATTCATCGTGATGAAGAGCCTTATTTACTCTGTCATCTATTCACGATTGTTCAATTCGTCGTGATGAAGGGCTTTATTTACTCTGTCATCTATTAACAGTTGTTTAATTCATCGTGATGAAGGGCTTTGTTAATCTGTCATCTATTAACAGTTGTTCAATTCATCGTGATGAAAGGCCTTATTTACTCTGTCATCTATTCACAGTTGTTCAATTCGTCGTGAAGGGCCTTATTTACTCTGTCATTTATTAACAGCGTTCAACTCATCGTGATGAAGGGCCTTATTTACCCTGCCGTCTATTAACAATTGTGAATAAACCTGATCGAAGATTTATAAAGTCTATCAGAACGTTTACTAACCGTAACGTATTTTATATAACATGATAAAAGAAACCCTTCTGTTATACTAGAAACCTGATCAAAGACTTTTACAGTCTATCAGAACTTTTACTAACCCTAACATATTTAATCTAATATAATAAAATAAAACCCTCGTCCTGCATTAACTGATCTGATCAACGACATTTAAGGTCTATCAAAACTTTTACTAACCCTAACGGATTTAATATAATATGGTCAAATAAAAGCCTTATCCTGCATAAACCGATCTGATCAAAGACTTTTAAAGTCTATCAGAACTTTTACTAACACTAACACTAATTGTTATTATTAAGATTAGGACGACACTTATGTTAGTATCCACACGGATATATTAATGAAATAAAATGAACGTTTAATAGTACACAATAAAGTTAAAATGAGACTGCCTTAAAATACAGTAAACTAGGAAGAATCCTCAATAGCCGCGGCATTGTAAATTCTTTTAGGTAGGATTAGAGTAAATCAATCTATCAGACCTTAGATGTGGTCAAATACATCAATCGAAAGGGTTTGGCCTCCTGAGTCCAAAACTGTGACTAGATCTCAAATTGGTCAAGAGATATCGGAGCTATGAGCTAAAAGTTTGTACTTGAAAAACTCAGAGACATTCTATGAGCCGTTATGCCGCGGCTAAAAATTGCTTTACATTAATAATGATGATGACATATAAAGTGTAAGAGACTGTTCCCAGTTTCACGGGATCTTTTTTACAGTAAAATTATTATGTAAAACATCTTTTTATGTTGTATTTTGAGAGAATCTCGTTTTAACTTTACTGTGTACCATTAAACAATGACTTTAACCCTTCTCCTGTGATAACTACTCGGGTCAGACTGTTATTACTATTGTAGTCTGAAATGAATATTTGATAACAATCTCTTTACTTCAAGTAATTAACGAACGCAAGAAATGTTGTCCCAACTGGTTACATTCATCTTCTTTTTTCTTAGTTAAAAAAAATGTTATTAAAATGGTTTGCTTCCTGCTGGCCCTCCAGTGGCACAACGGTATGTCTGCGGCCTTATACTACTAGAAACCGGGTTTCGATACCCGTGGTGGTCAGAGCACAGATAGCCCTTTGTGTAGATTTGTGCTTAATAACAAACAACAACAAATACTTTCTGCTGTTAAATTCTTTTAAAAAATGTTTGTTTTACAGCAAAGCTATATTGGGTTATCTGCTTTCTCCACCGCGTGAATCGTACTCCGGATTTTAGCATTGTAAATCTGTAGGCCGGGGACTGAAAACAAAAAGAAGGTCTAAACATTTGAACGACGAAGTCATTAATTCTATAACACAAAACAAGCACAGTAAGTTATTTGCTTTACTTGTTCTAAAATCAACAATCTTAAAGATTGAACTCCCGTCACCGATCATGCTCGCCCTTTCAGCCGTGAGGGGTTCTAATGTGACGGTCAATCGCACTATTCATTGGTAAAAGAGTTGCGTAAGAGTTGGCGGTAGGTGATGTTGACTAGCTGCCTTTCCTCTAGTCTATCTCTTGGAAATCA